CTGTCTGTAAAACCCATCGAGCCGAAATTTTAGTAGTAGAGTCACCACCACCCGTTGAATGCACACCACCAGGTAAGGGGGAATTATCGGAAGTATAAACATCCCAAAACTTTAAAAATAGCAGATTCGCAACAAGTTGTGAAAAGCTTTAGAAGGCATACGTACAAAATAATATTAGTAGGCCACCAGGGATGAAATCTGCATGTACACAATGAGTATATACAGGAGAGTGTGGATAAAGTTCACCGCAATGCCACGACAAATACAAAACATTACTAAAGAAGCAAAGAGACGATTTAAGCACAAGCTGGAGGTAAACTAGTTTGGTAGGCAAAGTTAAAATGTTGATGATTTTCAAAGGATTTCTCATCAACCGTAAAGTCGAACTTTTGAAGGATCCTGTTGTGGCCAGGAATGCGAACCGAATTGGACTCTAGGAGGATTTGGTAGGTACCCCTAAAACGCCAATAAAATCTGTTATTACAAACAAAGACGATCTCTCGCCCAGCTATCGTGTTTCAAATGGTAATACTAAAAAGTGACTAAAGTTTATCATTTATAAGAACTGAACAATCAAGGAACATCAGTACTACGGCCCACCTTTGGTTGTAGCAAGTTTTACAGTTGGTACGGCAAGTACAACTTAGGCTATACGACGTTAGCAAAGACATCTAATGAAATAAAACAAAGCGATCCCCTCACTCACCCAATAAGCGACTCAATCTGACCCCCAAGAAGTGCGAAGAAGCGTGACTGGGAAGCAAAATTGTGTCGCAGTAAAGGCGCGTCTGGTTGGCTGATTGAACGGATCACGATGCTCAAATCCGATAAATACTCATCGTCTGTGTCCACGGTAGCTGAAATCTGAAGAGAATATGATTTCTAAGGTCACCGAGGCCGAAAACGATGAAATGATAATTGCGAAATTAAATGCATCAGAAAGCTACAACTATGTGCCCAGAACAGAAGGCTGATAACAATAAACTACTATTTTACCTCAAACACCAAACAGCCGGTCGTACTTACCATCCCCAATGCGACACGAGGTTTGAGATAGAAGCGTAAGTTATAAACATCAGCACCAGGAGGCTTGACAATCACAGAAGATGGGAAAACGTGGCGCGTCTGCTGAGCATTTCCATTCTCCCTACGAATCGCAGTCACAAGGTAGGGACAGCCTAGGAAGGAGCTTGCATTAGGATACTTTTTACATGAATAAACATGCTTTTTCAGTCGTGGAGGGGAAAGTACCCGGAAGGAGCCCAAGTAATTTGAACTGACCATCTTGGTCTGTGACCGCCTGCTCCACAGGAACATCGAATCCAGCATCATAGGTGTGTCCCCGACAAGCGACATCAGCGTCCACACTTTGTGCGGGGAAGATGGAGCGACCCTCCAGAGTTTTCATTTCCTTTGAGGAGAGTAGTTTTGCTTCAACAAGCACACCAGTCTCAGGATGGCCAGAAAGTGAAGATACCTGAGAGAACACGAATCTACCCTTAAGAAGGACCATCCAGACTTCAAAATCAAATCTCCACACGGCAACTCCAATGGTAGGTTCTTACAATCAGTAAATAGCAGGTTCATGTTACAGATGAAATTCTACAAATCAATCCAACTAAAGCAACCTAATCTACCACTTAGGAAGATTATTCATAAACGGATATCTACAAGAAGCAACAAACACCGAGGTCGGTAATTTTGTTTGGCTCTACGATGAATGGACATAAAAAATAAAAATACGTCGTAAGAATTAGAGCTAGCAAGACATTGTATGGATTTATAGCATGCTACAGAAACGAGAAAATTGACTTTACTTCACCAAAAGTCGAGTAAGCGATCCTACGGCCAATAAGATTCACAATCAGTGATTCATCGCCAACAATTCCCAGTGCATGTTCCGTTAGGGCTTCCAGTTGGCCTTTAATTCCATTGTGGATAAAAAACTCATATTCCTTCAGAATTGGTTGGATGTAGTATTCACCTAGATCACAACGTTTTGTTTTATACCCGCACTACAGGTATTTAGATGTTAATGGATGATTTGACTATACGTTACTTACCAGGAGGTAGACCAATATACCGAACAATACCACTTGAGTCCGTCGTTTTGCTGTCTCGAAATACGTTGCTGACGATTGAAACAAGGGTGTCTGAAAGTAAGATGTGACTGACAAGATGGTAACAGGGGAAAGGTTTTTTACAAAAAAATCTACAAACTCACCAGGAACTGGCTTCATTTTACCTTCAGACACCACACGGACTTCAACAAGAGCCAGCTTCTGTGAGGAGAAGGTCAGCCAATCAGCCGAGGATTTTAGAGCAAAGTCGAAGCCAGGTTTGTGTAGTTGAAGAGTGAGAAAAGAACTAGGCTGAGCGGCATGGACGGATTTCGAGTCAAAATAGAAGGGTCCGATGCGGAAAAAGCCCTGAGAGTTGGTGAGAGCACGCATGATTAAAGTAAGACCAGGTTTGGGTGAAGGTGCGTTTAACTGTTGCTCTGAGAAGGTGGACATATCGATAGTTAACTCGAGCGGTGGAGAGGAGACAACAGAGGTGTCAGCGTAAACTGTCACTAGGACCTTATCAACAGGGGGTTGAACTTCACCGGTAAAGAAGAAGCCCAGTTTCATGAAAAAGGTAGCAGTGAGACTCTCCGTACCACCGAAAGTGGCTGCAAGAATAGCATCACAGTCTGTTTCATTGACTTCCGAGAGAGGTACAGGAGTGGCTTTAAGTTCAAGGTGGTCACAATTCGATTGGCTTAGATGGTGGACAATAGGAGGTATGCGGAGAGTTTGGAAGGCGGGAAAAATGAGAGGATGAACAGTAACTTGATCAGAGGGGGATTTAGAAAGAGAAACGGAGAAGACTATCTCTTTATCCGGTGCAGCCCAGAGACTCATTCGGGACGTATAGAAGTCACCTTCCTTTCTCCAACTAAAATGGATAGAAAGAAGAACAGGGCAAATCTACTCATTCTGACCAAGTGTAACGTCTTCTCCACTCAGAGTTCGAACATGTAAAAACAAGTTGTTTTGGCATTTACGAAAAAAAAATGCCGTTTAGATTGAGCCTTCGCCTTTCAATTTAGGCTCTCAGATTGCATATGCGCAAAATAGTAATCCAAAAAGGAATATTAGAGGATGATATGATTGCGAAAACAGACAACAGTAAATCGGAAAATGAAATTCCAAAATGGAAAACCAGAAAAAGCACGCCTTAAACTTGCTAAATGCACGCATCTAGTAGAAAAGACAGATGGTCAAGTTGAACAAACGTTAAACCTATCCCACGCTTCCATTCTAAGTCTACCAGTATAAATGTATAGATTCAAGTGCATCTAATATAGCACCACTCACATGGTGGACACCTTTTTAACCGAATCGGCCACATGAGCCTGGATGGTGAGTTCTGGAAGGTCTTTTTCAACTGAAAAACCCGCAACTCCAGGCAGAGCCGTCACGACAGCACTAACAGGGATTTCTCGCACCGAGATCCTAACAGTTTTTGAAGGAGCAGAAGGTGGAATAGCCGTGGCAGCTGATCGAATTATACTGGGAAAGGGCGTTTCAAGGTGCAAACACGGAGCAGATGCTTCGAAAGTGAAAGAGGAACCACCAGAGAGACAGATCTATAATGAAGTACAGCAAGTGAGAATTTGAAAAGGGGGAGGGAAATAAATTGGAAGAATGAATAACGCACGGTATTTAGAGGCTTCATGAGCTGATAAAAGGAGGGCTCCACATAAACCAATAGGCCATTTCTCACTAATGATGGTGTAACTTTTAGACATATTGCTTTCTTAAATCCAAAGTCTAGAAGGGGTACATGGATACGTAACCTGTAGCCGGTTTGTCGAAACGACAACTCCGCGGTATTGTGAAGATCATGATCAGTAACAATCACACGACGAAGGAGACCAGGAGAAGCCCAACACCAGCCACTTGCGGGCTGCATTGCATCTCCATCAATTACCACTAGTTCCAAGTCGTAAGGCCCCGGAGACAGGGATTTAAAAGTGAATGTTCCGCGTTTACTGTTGTTCTGAAAAGTATTATGGAAAACGCCTTTCAATGGATTCCCACCGAGCATAATTGGTAGTTCAGAATCTAACAGCTTACTTGATCAACTTTGATGTTGACGACGACCGGCAGAGTATCGAATTGTTCTTTAGAGGATAGACGCACAGCTAGTTGAGAGTCTGGGCACTTCTCAGTACAGAGCACCTCACCAGTCAAAACCGCTTGAAATTGAGTGAAGATAGCATCCTCTACCGGTCCTGATAAGATATCAATCTGAATAAAAAAGCCCCAAAAAATTAATCTAGCAAAGGAAGCAAATAGGTATTTGAGAAAACGACTGCACACATTTATGGAGGCTGGAGCAAATCGAATGGAATTGTGCGATTCGACCAAACGAAGAGTGTGTTTCCCTGGGCTAAGATAGAGACAAAATTTAGCCGATTTGGCATCTTCTGAGACAGTAGCTTCAATCGAAGGTCCCGAAACAATTTCCACACGCGGTATGCGAGTCTGCATTAAAATATTTAGTGAGAACCATGACCCTCATTTCAAGGATAGAACAATAAGCTGTAAGCTCACCCCTGGCTTTAAGCTGCTGGTCATCAAGAACCGTCCACAAAACTCGACTGCATTAGGAACAAAAGTTGGCAAGGTTTTCATAGTAGGAGTCAATTTTAGTCTGACCTTTTCGAATTCAAGCCTGGGTGCTTTTACCTGTGAAAGTCCAAAATTTGAAGAAATAAAACCTACTTGAAGTAAATACTCACTCGGAGCGGCAAGGTCTAACTCGAAGTTCCCTTCTGAATTTGTCCTGGTGACAAAATCCCCGTTAACAAAGACCTAATAAAAGGTAACTTACAAATACGGAAAATAGACTATAAATGAAAACAATTGCAAAAATGAGATACCTCTGAATTAGCGATCGGAGCACCAGAAGATTGCTTAACATACCCTCCGCCAACTCGAAAGGAGGTGACTCGAAAACCAGAATCGAGATGCAGATCGAAATGCTCCATCGTCACTGATAAGAAGGTTGGGCTAATATTCAGATGTTTAGATTCCATTTCGCTGGATTTCATGAGATCCGGATCATGGTAAGCTACCAGGAAGTAATCACCACCAGCTAAACGCGAGAACACGAAAGCACCGTCAACATTGCTAATGACCTAAACGCGACCGCATATTTTCATACAAAATAGAATAAATACCTGGCAAGCAAGATCAGGGTTTATTATGTCCTTCAAATCTACTGGAATGAAGTTTGCGTGGGGCTTTGAGGGTTTAAAGCATCCAAATTTTTTAAAATCGGTTTCCGTCAATTTGCTTGATTTAGGGATGAAAAGGAGGATGGGAATATTTGCGACACCTTGATCATTAAAGGTTACTACCGAACGTAAAGAATGACCCTACAAAAGCACATGTTAGCTGAACATAAGAATACCTGTAGAACAAGAGGATCCGCCAATTTAAGACTGCTGGTGGAAACGGTAATGCTCAAACTAGCACGAACATCGTTTGTTTCACTATCTGAGGCGGGATCACCCACAGTGACGATGTACTTCCCCGGGGGGACCGAAGATAGAGTAAAACTACCATTAGCGGTCGTTTTGGCTTGAGAAAAAATAGCACCGTTAGAGATGACCGAAACGATAAGGTCCGGAGGTCCAGTGGTCATGCCAGCTGTGACAACCTGTCCGCTGACATCAAAACCAGTAAGATCGAAAACATAATTCATTTGCTCATTCTGAATACCACCATTCAAGTCGATTTCATAGCCGTTGGCTGGAAGGAAATTCCATCCCCGTGGGACAGAAAGGCAGATTCTATATCGACCACTGTCAGACACAACAACAGAATATGCCCCATTCGGCAAAACATGAACTACTTGTCGAAGAGTCTCATCAGGAAGGCTGTGTACATAAACCTTAAGTTGAGAGGCGAAGTTCTTTACAGAAACATTAGAGTTGTGCCACCTAACGCTTCCACCAAAGGTAAAGAAGGCCTTCGATTTTGATTCTTGGCCTTCAGCGCCTGCAAGCATGACACTTGCGACAAGAGCCACGGTAATTAATCTCCAACAAATCATCTGCAGAGGAAAGTCAGACGGCAAATGAAATCAACAGCAGAAAAAGGTAAGAACATAACTAAACTATGATGTGTAGGAAAATAAGTTCACTACATTAGCTTGTAAGCCGATCTGATTTAAATTATGGTATATTTGACTGCTCAAGTGCAATAAATAATAGCGAGAAAGCATGGCAGTGAAAACCGTATTAAATGCCATATCTGCCACCAACGGAATACACCGTGAGAAACGAGGAACTGCCGCTAGTCAGGCGGGAATTCGACCTTGGTGAGATTCTATTAAACGGTTGTTTATACCAACATAAAATAGATTTTGGTGACAAATTGCCTCACAAACAGCTGTGCATTATTCTAATGAAACTTTGACACACCCCAGCAATGGAATACCAGTAATCAACAAGTATATGATGCCCAATATGCTGCAAACTTATTTATTGCAACACTTTTAAGAATTAAGAGAAAATCACATTCAGTAAGACGTAAATCAACTGGTAATATTTACCATATGCTCACACCCAAACGCCCCTAACAAACTTTGACCATATGTTTCGCACCGGCCTATTTTATACTTTAAGGCATATTGTGGCTCAAGTTGCGTAGTTGCAAAGTCGCTTCCACAGTATTTCTCAATCAATGCATTGATGATGAGGCCATAATACTTGACTTGGCTGCTTAGCTTTTACTTTTTGTGACGAGCTACTTAGGACTCTGCCATTGTACCTCCTTCGGGCGGTCTGGCCTCCAGAACATGCCAGCAGTCCACAAGCACTCCAGTAGGTCGACAATACACATCCTAATTACTAGGTAAAGCCCCGTCACTCCCTCAAAAACAAGCGAAGAATGGCGGAGGCCAGAGGCTGGCCCACCAGGCGAAGGCACGATGGCCAAGACAAAAAGTAGCTCTTTACTAAAACCGAGAGCTAAGTAGAAAACCAACGTATTGCACAACCCGTCTCCTCTTTTCAGCATTGTCCCTGCCGATCCCCTTGGTCAACCCTTTGCGTCAGCCATCACAACGTAGTCGGTGCTGTAAGGAAACATGCACGCGTCAACCGTGTCTGTCATCAAACTTCTATGCAACTGAGGTGATACTTTTCTGCAACGTCATTGATTTCTCTTGACAATTCAGCTGGATTTGCAGTTCCATCCTGCAAGGAAACTGGAATCGGGGAAGGGAAATTGTTCTGGTCATCACGCGTGTTCATAGATAGACGTGGGAACACTGGTCTTAAAGCAGCTTCATGTAGGGAAGGACGAAATTTAACACAGCTTCTTGGGGTAGGATTGCACGTCTGTTCCACCTTGCCACTTTGTTCGGTGCCGCCTCGCCATACCTATCTGTCCAGCTGGTAGAGAGGTGGAGGAGGTATCGCAAGTTCGCATTGTCGATAGCCCTTTGAAGGTACGGTAGGCAACTCCGTAACGAAATTTTTTAGATGGCTCATGGCTAGTGTCGCCTCCGTTGTTAATAGCTTTCCTTCCGAACACGAGACTGGGATGGTTGCCAAAAATAGACGTCATTTCCAACTCCTCTGTTTGGCGTCATCACCGATTCTCTTATCCATTGGATGTGCACTTCTTCCCCTCGGCTGAGGTTTATCACCCAGTAGTAGAAATCAGGATAGATGTCCTTTACGATTGATGTCGCTTTCCGCTGCCGCCGATGTAGTGCTTCGAGACTTCCCTGAAGACGAAAGAAGACATAATACGCGGGAAGAATACACATATTCGATATACAGAAGGTATTAGGGCTACTGCCTTGGCCCAGAGTCCAGCCCACCTGACGAGGTACAATGGCTAAGACAAAGTGGGCCGTTACCAAAACCAAGAGTTAAACTAATAACCAACGTACTACAGTTATGTCCTTTATAAATGATTGTTCGATTCCTAAATCGAATGGCATCGAATATGGTAGATAAAACCAGGAAATGAATTCTATGTATAGAAGTTGATTTCGTTCAAAATTTTTACATTTTTTGTCTTTTAAGACTACCACGGAGATCACTTTTTTTTTCAATCAAACAACGTCACCATACGCTGAATACTACCAGTACATTTAATAGGATTTGAGTTGTTCTTATTGCCTCTGTCTAACAGGCGATGAGAAATGGTTATGTTATACTCCTACCGGTTTTCAATGGTATTATTAGCCCCGGAATCAAATCTTGAAATCTTTAATTTCAACTACACTTTAGAACCCGAAAATTAGTTCTTACCTTGTGAAGCTGAATTTCTATTTATATGATCTACCTTAAAACCAAGTAGGTACAAGTTACAGACTATAGCATTATGTGTCACTGTTCCTTTATCCTAACAAAAGTCAAATTTAAGAGCTTTAATGCTAGCTAGAAGGACTAAGAGTTGAAAATTTTATTTTGAGCGTACAAGTAGTGCTGGATACATTCCTACTTTTGGCATTTACGTTGTAGCAAAGTCGGGTAACTTTAATAACTTTGGATTCCCAATGTGAAATTTAACGTTGTTTGTTCTCTTACGTGCTCTCTTGTTATCTGTCTAGGCCTGGTTGTAGGCATCAAACCGCCCAAATGTTAAGTATGCGGATTTATTATTCTATAGATTAATATTTTTCATTGGAAATAAAAAGTAATGTTGGAAAATTGTTTACCGTATTGCTCAGATCACTCATCCTTTTGCAGCCTGAATATCGTAAAGCTGACTGCGCATGGTCCATACAGTTTGTGGTTAAAAAACTGCTTGAAATAGACAAATGTACTCAAAAATAGATTTAGCATCAAACCAAGGAAAACAACTATTCCGAGATTTTCCTTAAAGTTGTTTATTTTAGGTTTCTTAAACATTCAATTTTCCCCTGCGCGATGATTTTCATCCCTTTCATCAGAATGGCGTTACTAGAAGGTTACTAAGAGGGAATAAGGTTTTATGGAATGCCAAGCTTCATGATACTCAAAGATGGCAATGCGCGGGCGGATGCGGCAGCACAAGTATTTTCCTCTCCGGGGTGATGCAGTGGGAGCATAATTGCTCTCTCTAGATGTAATGAATTCAACAATAAGTGCTACGGATAGGCTTGAGACTGTAATTAACCTGGTACCCATCTTTTTCATTTCGGAGATGCTGTCACTGTTTCCATTATTTAATTGTTGCACATCCCTTCCTAATGGTTTTGTGGAGTTTGTTACTCTTGGCTATATGGCCGCTGAAAAGGGGAGTTCCATAGAGTAATGTGGTTGAGTCTGGTAAGCTCCATTAATATTTTACAAATATGTAAAACCTCCCGTGAATGATTTCTCATAAGTTTTGAAATATACGTAAGGAAAGGAGAGGCTATTTATTACACGCGTCAAATTATAACTAATGCTTCTATCCACGAAATAAAGCTGTTTTATCATGATAATCTCTCTTGAATGAGTAGGATATACTTTTTTTTTTCAATTTTCAACGTATGCGTTGAATGGTGGTTTATTTCAACACAAGCGATGCTGTTTGAGCACTCTCACTAGCGCTCGTAAGAAAGAAACATGTCTTTTTCTATTACCAGTTTAATCTAAGTTAATATTATTTTCGTTCAAAATTCCATCCTTTTCGCTGTTCGATTGTATAATTGCTTTAATAAAACGTCTCAACGGAAACATTACGAGTTTATCTACTGTATCATGAAAGACTTATTACTAGCATAGGTCAATCATAATTTAAAAATCGTACCCGTGGCTCTGACAGGTGCGTGACTTGTATTTTTGCTTACCCTGAGGTGCTAAATTAAATAATAATGCCAAATCTCTGGACCATCCGCCTTTTTCTTATGCTGATTGCACTTGGTCTAAGCACCACTTCCAGATTTAGGAAAACAGATCTAACTAGCATTCAGAATTAGTTCCGTAAGTTTGATTCATTTGAATTCCGACGGCTAATTTTATCGTTGTTAAATTACACAATCTGTTCTATCTAGTGTCAGTTGTTTAAGGGATTATCAACGGTACGCACTCAAAAGAAGGTACAATATGGGTGATGGAGGTGACTAAAATAACCACTCAAATTTTGTCGTGCCAATAGTGGCTAAGGTTAGTCTAAAAATTTAATAAGTCATATACCGTGATTCGAAGTTTTAGTTGGAAGCACATCCGAAAGCAGTAGTTTAGATTTGCTGACCAGTTCAACTTAGGCGATTATTCTCTTACATTATAAGTAAAACCAATTCATTTGTGCAACGCATATTAATTGTGCAATCATAAGAAATAAAAACTAAATTGAAATAAAATTGACATGAGCAAACAGGTATTCATAGTTCCGAATCAAAAGTGTTGCATAAAATTAATTTTACGTGTTCCGATACTACTGTCAACTTAAATGGTAGAATGAAGAAATTTCCAGAGTGTTTCAAAGAGCAAACGTAATTAGCGCAACATAGACGCCCAAATTATCACAAATATGTGTTATTTTCAAAACAGCATAAATAAATTGGCGAAAACTTAATGCAGTCCAACCCCAGTAATTTTTAATAACATTCACAAATCAAAATCAAAAACGAGTATGCAAATCAGAAAGAGAAAAGGCAGCAAGTAAAGCAGTACAGAGGCTGATTTAAGAAGAATATTGCTTTAAAATTTGTGGGATATTAAGAAAGGTTAATAGAATTTTAGCGAAAAGCCATAAAATCCTCATAGCTCAATTTTCCGAACTCAAAAGATCATTATTACTACAGATAACAAAGTTAAGCACAAGCGAGGTGGTCGGATCCATTGGACATTTTGTAACCCACACGTAGTCATCTTATTCCAGACACTTAGTTGACTCCGGTACACTTGGAAGCGTTTGCTTAAAATCTCCCCACCGTGGTAATATTTGTGCGCGCAGCAATTGTCTTCAGTCATTGATGTATCGCCACGACGTTGTAAAGTACGTTTTAGTTGAAACGAAACTGGAGGGCATTCAGTATGCGACCGTCGCATAAATGTAGCAGCTTGTATGCGTGCATTGATCAGACAAATAATATGGAAGTCGTGGGATTCGAGAATAGGCACCTACGATCAGAATTATTGATACTTTACCTGACCATTTGGCCTTTTGCTCTGGGAAAGGGAGAATGAGCATTGGACGGACATGTGACACTGAATAGTGGTTCCCCAAGGTGCCACATTTTGAAAGAATACTAATGTAGAGGAGAAGGTATATGCTGCGGACTCTCGTGTGAAGATGCCCAATGCACTCTACTCAGATCCATGCGAAAGTCCACAGCTTTATCAAAGCTAAACTAATCCTCATTTGCTTACCAATTGAGCACAAACGATTCCCAGTCGTGAATAGACTCGACTATTTGAACGAGCAGCCAACGATCCATAAAGCAGCCGATAGACGCTTTCAGGTTGAACGACTGTTGAGTGCACTGTGGACGTCACTTCAGGACATCAGATCAATTTGAGTGCATGCATATGGGCGCGAAAGCTCGGAGAAACGGTCGAGTTGGAGAACAGAAGAGCTTTTCATATCCGTTGGAGGTGAAGTAATGATTGCATTCCATGCAGATAGTTCCATAAGTCTCGGGTACTCGAATGGTAAATTAACTATCAATGAAGTATGACCATTTAACGGGTGGACATACAGTAACGGGGTTGTGAGCTGTCAAGGCACTACAAAATATGGGGATGATAGTTTGTGCAAAGCGGATCAACAGTTACACTGACTTCGGCAAGGACATTCACCAGAATTTCGGCGATAGGACACATGTTGACAGACACGCGTATGCACCTAACCATAAGCGTGATTCCATAACAATGCGATCACTCTACACTCTCACCACCTCCAATTGAATTCGAGTCCATACGTAGGCTGGCCAGGGTTCATTTCCAAGCCCTTGAGTGGTTTTTAGACTATGACTTTGCACATCCTCTGATGCCTATGAGGAAAAAGAGCGTACAACGCTGCTCAAATAAGCCTTCCAGAGTCCGGTGATATCAAACCAATATCAAACGACACTGATAGACCGCAGTTCCCCCCATTTTCGGGGTTAATTTCAAACTCATTTCACATACACGCGCCGCTTTCAGCACATCATGATCATGCCGCCACCACAAGCGTCAACTGCAAGGCACCCTGTCTAAATCAACACAACGACCAGAGGCGTCAACCCACACCACCGGCCACACAATTAAGAGCATAACAGTCAAAACTACCTCACTAACGACCCCTCACAGCAGTTTAGGATTTACCACGCTTACTAGTACTAACGTACGTCGACAATTGCAATGGCTCTCTACCGGCCGTGCCATACAATGGCGTGAGAAAATATAAGCACAACTGGACCTCGCGAATACAACTGCGAAGTACGAGCCCCCCGATCATAGACTGCAACAACATATGGGCGCTCTACATCATGAACAAGAAACGCAATAAGCCTTATCGAGCTTACCTCAGCCACAAAGTCACCTCAGACTACCCCATGCACAAGTGTATGCCCAACCTTTCGCTACAATTTGAATGCGTCAGTGATGAGTCGACCTGTGAGGACGTTATGACGAACTCACATCGAGGCTCCTTCAGTGCTCGTACCCAGACCGAGCACCACGGAGATCACACCGTATTGGACCCCTGAAGCCACCTCAAGTTTCGCAACGACCCACCCAACAGACATGAACACGCGCACGACAGCAACATCTGCACCAGTCGATGTATTTACACATGGAAGACAAACATGGGAAATACCTAGCATTTCTCCTCCTCAAGACCATCACGGATGAAGACAAAGTACGGGGTTACACCATCGTCACGATAGTTGCATGGAATCAGGTACTGATGTTCAGCCTCGTAATTGGGTGGTCGGAAGAATTGCCATTCTTCGAATTTCTTGAGGATAGTATCTTTCCAATAACTCTGTACAGTTCCCTGGAATTCCTTTTCTTTTTCTGGATTCTTCTCAGCAACACGCTTTGTGACTAGTTTAAGATAATCTTTCAGGTAAGTAGTATAATCTTTTTTGTTGCTAAAAGGCAACTCCTCTAACTGATGTGAGTAGACTACATTGATCACAGTAATGACGCCATCCTCCACTGCTTCCCCTCCTTCTTCTGTGGAGGGATTGGCACCGATAAGAGCATCATCAACGCCTTCCTTCACCTTGATCGTTTTGCCCTCGACCTCCCAGATATGATCGTTGATTTTTTTGATTGGAAAGGCATCACTGAACAATTCATCACCTTAAAGGACGCAAACAACGCCAAATTAAAAAATCGTAAGAGCAATTGTACACAGAATGCGAACAACAAACCAGTAAGAAAATCCTTGTAAATTATCATTGCAGCGTGACACTTGGGTTGGAAATAGCGCGCCAGGTGTGTATTTAAACAATATTTGCACACTTTATCAGTTACCCCACTTGGCATCAGAAAAATTTAAAAAAATTAAATTATTATCATTTTAGCTGATGTAAAACTCTGGCAAGAGGAACCGTAAAATAATGTAGAGGTGTATTCGTCAAAGCAATTTTTATAAAATATTTTCAAAGAATTTTGCATATCTCAGTTAAGATAACTAACGCAAATTACTAACCCAGGATATAAATTTAAAACTTAAGAATTACTTTCTCAATTTACTAGTTGGACAAGTAAAACGATCAAGATCTATATCCTGGTAGAACAGGATTTGCATAAGTTGACTGAATTCTAGAAGTATTCATGGTTTAGGTTTGCTGTTCATTAATAAGTGCTCCTAAACGCACATGGAGCAATATAACTATGCCTTCTAAAGCGCCATTAATTCACCTAAGAATACGTATTTACTAGCGCAATTACTGGTTTTCTCTCTTATGGAGGTTGTAATTGCTATAAAAATCAGACTTTTGAGTTGATTTGCACGCCACTGCTCACAATTTGAAGTAAAAGCACTTTTGGTATGAGGTTTATAGCTTTAATTACGATGCGTCGCAAAAATGAGTAAGAATTAGAATCGCACGGTTAGCTAAGAATGCTTGGATTTATTTTGCGATGAAAAATAGTGCAGATGTAGCGTCCCGAGACTCCCTTAAGACGAAAGAAGACACAATACTCGGGCAGAAAATATATATATTTTCAGCGCAGAGAAGGTGTCTGGGCTATTGGCATGGCCCAAAAGGCCAGCCCACCCAGCGAGGAACAAAGAGGCTAACTCGAAGTACAAAAGTGGCGCCTCACCAGAACCGAGGGATAAACCACTATCGAATTACAGCGGAAGTTAGTAATAGCTAGAAAACACTAAATGAAAAAGCAGCATGATATCTTTAAAACTTTCCCACAAAATTTATCATTGACAGCGAACGAACATCAACATGATAATTTCAAACAAATTTTTTCAATGCTCCACTTTGAACCTTGATTCCCAATCTGTTAAATTCATTTGTATAAGCTTCAAACAAAGTGAACAGGCCTAACTGTAATTGAACGCCTTAAGGTTACCTAATTATGTGAAATACCATGGTCTTCATAACAAAGAATTCACTAAAACGCAAACGAAACAAATAAGTAAGGTGCAAAAGTTCCCAAGTCTCAGTTATCAATTGACATCCGCAAATTTTCTAACGGTAAAACAGTAGCCAAAAAGAGTAGTTGAAGTTCTTAATGGCCTTGTTGTTATGGCAATGGCTGGAAACATCCTAGTTAGAACAAAGTAGAAAATGGCTGAAGACAAGAAATCAGTAAACTATTCATAATAATTTAAAAACCTGGATTTCCTCAATGAGTTTGCAACTAAATATTCGCATAGAGATGATTCGTTATTTACTATGCAGTTATGAGAGAAGCTGTCCTTTAGTAATACCCATGCCTTGTGTAAAACTTTTTCGAATAAAATGTGAAATTTCTTCAAATTATTGTTTAAAAACACGGACAGATGTCCCAATGAAGCCAGTACCACGAGTATAAATCCGAGTATTTCCGCTTGTATGGACTTAATTAAGTGCAAATTATTTCCAACTTTTCCAAAATATTGAAAAATCTGAGCATTACTTACTATTGCCTAACTAAGTGTTTTATAATTTGTGCTAGGGATTGAAATTGATTTTCTATCATACAATTGTGACAAGAACACCATCCCAATAATTAAAACAATAGTGTGGGGCGAGGATCGTAGGTCTCTTCTGCCTTGCTCCTAGTACTCTTAAAACAACGAGGTTGATTTAATTTCGACACATTTATTGGAAGAAGTGAATAGGGAAAACGAGTACAGGGTTTAGCGGAGTGAGGATTCGCAACCGCTCTTAGGCTTGCAGGGCGTTAACTCTGTCACCAGGTTCAAATTGCATCCCCGTCTCCTCTCTGAAAGGAACATTAAAACAATATAAGTGTTACAATAGCATTTCTCAAGGAAACAACCAGTGTATATTATTTTTCAACAGATACTATATTTGAACGGAAATGTTAACTAAAGAATGCCGTCAACTTTTATCACTAAAGGATCAATAAACCACAGAATTATTACAATTGCACATAATTTAGAAACTCTTTACATTCATAATTAAAAACAGATGCACTTGTATTTAAATAATTTACTATCATTGCAGAATCCATGAGCAAATTTAAATGCGTCAAAAATATTCCGAAATTATAAAATTTGAACCCAAATATTGCTTTTGATTGCGTGGAGCCTCTGTTGTAGTTTATAGCGGGGGAATACTTCTTGTAAACCAGTATTTGAAAATCATTTCAACGATATCCATTGAGTCGTACTGCTCACTAGTCATTTTATATGAGGACTTCAAAGGCGTGCCTATCGTTGATGACATCACTGTCATCTTATAAATGGGTTGGAATACCTTCCCTAACTGCTTTAAGCGCATACTACTGTCAACAGTCCTAGTGACCTGCAAGCATTACAAACTCAGAAGTGCCGTCTATGAATACGCTTTTAAGTAGATTTCGCTGGTTATAATCAAAAATTTGCTTTTCCATGAATTTATTTGCGCGTTCCTCATAAATGCTTCAGATAAACATTCCGGTGAGGTACTAGTGCACTAGAAAAGTTGTAAAAACCATTACCACTACCATGCTAAGCTTATATATTACTTTTATCGTGACATGTTGCTGAGGTAACATGAATCTTCAAATAAAGTAGTTTTTTATACAGAATTTAAATAAAGTAGACAAATAAAACCGAGTTATTGCTGTGCAATGAATTATACTGCAACAACGAGGGGCTTATTTATTGCTAAAAAATTTAAATCTGCAGTAAAATCCTGCAAATTAATATGGACTCATTTAAAAGGCAGAGAATAAATAGACCTTGCTTAGTACTTGAAAACACCCACCATGTTTAACGCTGCGCTGAAATGCTCGGAAAAGCCAAACAAAAAGGCCAAATCTTAGTTAATTTTTGTAGTATTACAGTCTTTGTTTCGAGGCATCGCTTACACGCGCTTGTTTCATCTGTATCTGCTCAATGCAGGTACTTAAGTTTTTGCTTTAGATGCCCAAAGTTAGATGACATCGAGCATAAGTTCATTGACTTCGTGACAGAAATTTGCAAAAAACAGATTGCTCTTCTGTTTGGGGCAAAAATCTGTCATAGAAGAATATATGTAAGCGATTCGGGGAGTGGTAGGTTAGGCGATGTCGTTAAAAATGCACCTTGATAAATGACATCTGTGTTGTATGAGAAATTAGGTTAATTGTTTAATAGTAAATTAACTAGCATATTTCTTCAAAATCAAGAGACTGCAATGTAAATGCGGT